CACACACACACACACACACACACACACACACACACACACACACACACACACACACACACACACACACACACACACACACACACACACACACACACACACACACACACACACACACACACACACACACACACACACACACACACACACACACACACACACACACACACACACACACACACACACACACACACACACACACACACACACACACACACACACACACACACACACACACACACACACACACACACACACACACACACACACACACACACACACACACACACACACACACACACACACACACACACACACACACACACACACACACACACACACACACACACACACACACACACACACACACACACACACACACACACACACACACACACACACACACACACACACACACACACACACACACACACACACACACACACACACACACACACACACACACACACACACACACACACACACACACACACACACACACACACACACACACACACACACACACACACACACACACACACACACACACACACACACACACACACACACACACACACACACACACACACACACACACACACACACACACACACACACACACACACACACACACACACACACACACACACACACACACACACACACACACACACACACACACACACACACACACACACACACACACACACACACACACACACACACACACACACACACACACACACACACACACACACACACACACACACACACACACACACACACACACACACTTCGCGAAAACAGTCGAAACGGATTCAGGAGACCCCAAAATGTGAAAATTGGTCGAAAACTGGAGGTCGAAAAAAATCATGATTCTCGTACTTTCCTTATCTGTATACAGATAGGAAAGTAAAAATAATCAATTATTCCAAAATAATCGAATAATCAAAAAAAAATAATTTTCAAGTAATTGGTTTATCGAAAATAATCGATTGTTTATTTTAATAATCATCCTACCCTTGTTATAACCTAACGTTATTAGCAATCATTTTGATTAACACAATTATTTAAAAAGGTGTATTTGAGTAATGGACATTTTTTTATTAATAGAAATCTACTAACACTAGTCAAAAAAGCTGAAATCTACTAAAAAGTAGAAATCTACTAAATGTGGCAACGTTGGATTAAAGTCAGAGTCGCCCATAGATTAGGGGAATGTAAACACAATCAGATGATTTACATTGAAGCAAGTAGGATTAGTGGGGTTTTGTTATGTTAAAAAATGACCATTTTAGTCAGGGGGGGATATCGCGCATGGTGTCATGGCGGCGCTGACGTCATGCGTAGAGTTAGTAGAGTTGGCGCGAAATAAATATCATAAGACAGACACATGTTGCAGTAGTTTGGGAGTCGTTTATAGTGATTTATAAGGTATTAAACAGATATTTGTATTATATTTTGTTGTAAACTTTCTTCTCTCTGAGTGGTTGTAGTAAAAAACTTTGAAAAATTGCGGTAGGGATGTAACAGTAACAATTAAAGCAAAGGATTCAAGAAAGATATTATGGTTTTTCGCTTTCTTGGACAGTAAGAGCTCAGTCAGAAGTGAGGAGTGGCCCAAGGGCGGCTCCAGCGGAGGCTCAGGGGAGCATGCCGTTCCCTAGATTAAAATTCTTAAAATCCATGAGCCTTTTATTAAAAAATATATACTAAATAGGCAATTCTACCCTCCTTCCCAAGAAAATTTGACATAGAGCAGCCCTTGCAGTGGCTTGTAATCCTGCAAATAAATTTTCATATGTATTCCAAGCACTTTCAACCTTCCAATTATAAGAGGAACCTCTAATCAGAACTTCAGATTAGTTCAATCGCAACTTGGGACTTCTAAACTGGAGACTCTACCCTTTGAAGGATAAAAATATAAGCATAAGTGAAATTATAAATGTCGCAAAAAAAAGAAAATTTCGACTTGTACTTGATGAATGAATTAAAAAAACTGTCAGCAACTTTGTCCAGGAAAATAGCAGACATTTTATTTTAATTTTGTACATGCACCCACAATATGTTATGTAGCTGTTATTTGTATTTCGTACATTTTTTTATGCTTTGCATTATATTATATGAACGTCTGCATTATATTATATGAAAAAACATATTTTTTAAAACTTATTTTTATTCAATTGGGTAATTTAATGCAGGTAAATGAGTAATCAGATAAAAATTCCCAGCATATCCAGATGCGAAATTGTTACCAGGATCCCCAGTTTCAAGTTGCGAAGATACCCTTTTCATTATCCTAGTTATAAAAACTATTCTTTAGAAGTCGAATTTGTATAACCATAATGAATCATTAAAAAAGAAAAAGGAAAAAATTGTTCAAATAAATACTTCTTTTATGTATGTATTTGCATTTATGTTCCTTCATAGTTCTTTCCTTAACTATCCTATAATAATATCCATAGATATTTCATGTAATTTCTAAAATATTATCTTTAATATTCATGAAATTTCTGTAAGTAGCATATATTTTCCTCACACTTCGTCAGTATTTTTAAATTCGCGCCTATATAAACTCTACGCGTGACGTTATGCGCGTGGCCGTCCTATTTTTGACACTGTTGATATCCTACCTTTTATTTTTTATACCATGCATTTTAGTTATTGTAATATTTGTTTTCTTTTATAACAAATTGAAAACCATCTACAAACATTATTAGTTATATTCAGCTGACTTTTCTTTATATTTTAAGCTTATTTTTGATTATTTATCAGGTTAGGTATTGATTTTTGTGTAGCAATATTATTGTATGAAAGTACCTACCGTTTTTCAGTTTTTATTGTAAATTTAATCATTTTTATAATTTACACATCTCAAATACAATAATATAGTTTTTTATTACCTTTTATTGATAAATAAAACAAGTAAAGTAAAATGTTTATTTAATAAGATCAGTCTCATCACAATACATAACATTACACAGATACAAATAATAATACAATCAAAGCTAAAACAATACATAATAGACTAAACAAATAGGTACATTAAAAAAATGATAAAGTCAAAGTTTTTAAAAATTATATAATGGGTATATTAGTACCTCGGAGGTAAACTGCACTTTGTCATTCTAGTCAACTTTTCAGTAGAACATACTGAATGTTGTTTGGGAACTTTTTGTGGTTCATGTTTACATATATTAATTTTATTTTGATAAGAAATGCAGTTAGTTCCAATTATTGTCAAAACATGTATTGTTTGCTAATAATCTAATAAAACTTTTTTTTAATATACATAAACTATTGTTGTTTTTTGTATCATATTCTGTAACATGTTCTGCTAAAAAAATTTCTATAACATAGTGTCATATAACTACAACATGCCTCTATAAAAAAATAATACTACTACCGTAAAAGTTAAAAACAGTATGTGCACATGGAGTTGTTTAACTTGTAAGTTTATTGAACATGGGGTTATACTTTTTTTATTCAACTTTTATTGTACCATCATTAATACATGGTATAGTATACCCCTGGAGAGGTTTCGGTGAGCTTATTTTAAAATAATGCCTCTTATAAAACTGCGCTATGTCGACATAGTTTACCTCCCAGGTACTAATATTGGTAAATATTTAATTGAGTTTTCATGATACAGGTACATACCTAACATAGACACAACTATTAAGTTTCTTGAAATAATTTAGGCCAGTGCAATGGTTATATATCGTCTTTAAAAAAAATTGTAATGCAAGTTTAGTTTCCATTTGAGTAAAATACTCATCGCTACATCAGTCTGACACTGTTTATAAGTACCTTTACCATTTGTAGATAGGGCCTATTTTGATAACTTGAATTGTACTACGGTCAAGAAATTATCCTTTAAATAAAGCATGTAATAAAATTGTCATACTTCTGAAATATCTTCTGGTTCAATGATTTTTCTTGACTGGCAACTGCAAATTAATATCTGTTTAAAGTTACGTACTTTATATCATTGTCATAAGAGCCCATTTCTTGATGTAACCCAGTCATCGCTTACTTACCGTATTATATCAAAGTCAACAAAATAAAGATGCTTTTTTTCTCTATGAAATCTTTTCTGTTGTCATTGTGTCCATTTACGTAGTTTTTTTTTTTTTTTTTTGAAAAACTAAATTATTATTGTTTAAAATTTGCAAATAAACAAACAACGTTTTTCGACAACAGTCGTTCAATTGACTTTATTAAATACAATTTATAAATAAACATAATTAAAATTGTCTTATAAGGATTTATACTGTAGAGTTTGACTACAAACATCGAGATAGAATGAATTAGAGACGACATAATCACCATTTTGTGATATGACAAGTGGGCGCACTTTGAATCGTATTTTGATTAATTTGAAGTTAATAATTTTATACTTGAAGACTGACGGAATGAAAATATGATATCATTTAAATCGCGCTATTTTAAAAAGGTTCGTATGCTATGCCTTACTTTGTGACGTGTTCTGTTTGTGTGCGATGCACAAAATAACGTGGTTTTAAGCAGTCACATTGTTTCACCTGGTTTCACGAATCTGTTGACCACTCTTTTTTACTACAGACATTTGCGGAAATCTTTGGTCATTCTGGTGCTCAATCAGCATTGTGCACCGACAGCGACATGACGAGTCAGAGCGCAGTGGCGTACCGAAAAAATAGCGATTAACATGTATGAAAATAATAAAAATCTTAAAATTAAATTTACATTTTTATGTGATTTTTAAATAAAGTATTTTTATGAAATTGCACACATAATAAGATCTTATTACTTTCTCGTGTTATTGAAGAAAATATAAATACTTTGATTAGTTGTTTAAAATTGGCATCCAAACCATTCTGATACTGAAAATACTAATTTTTTATTGTAAATAGACTCATACTGATATTGCTTCATATTATTTAGCATAAAAGACCAATTAAAGTGTTTTTTTTTGTACATTTTTAATTTTTTATCATACAATATTTAATTTTTTATTTCAGTAAAAGTAGATGTCCACTCAAGCAGTAGCGGCGCAGGATCTGACGAAAATCTGTCTTCATCAGATCTATCAGAACGTTCTGGGGACCATGAACACGACTACGAGGACATTTACATGATAAGAGAAGAAAACAAAGCGTTGAATAAAACTCGTTCAAATTCTAGAGATTCTGGATCACACAGTAGATCTGGCTCGGTTAGTTCTTCAAACTCTGGAAACGTTATCGTACATTTAACAACTGACAGTAACAATAATCAAAATGATAAAAGAGAAGCGAGTACTAAAACCGAGATAAAGCAAAAAATGGAGGAAAAGGAAAATAATGTGAGTATAAAAATGCGTTAAAATCTGTCTTTGTAACTTTTTACATTATTAAAAAATATGAACAACTCCATTGTCATAGTCATTTTTAATTCCTCTGGAATATAACTTTCAGGGTTTATAATATAAATTTCTAAAAAACTGAAAGATTTTTACCTAAATCTGTACTGAGAACTATCATTGTAAACCCCCAATATTTTGGTAACAAACCGCCACTGAAGAGATGTCGAACTTATTTTCTTTTTTGGTAGGGATTTCTGCTCCACCATAGAGTTTCCATCAGGTCTCTTCTCTCCTTTAGCGGACATTCATCACTTTAATATCTGCGCTATTCTTAATAGTTTTAATTACGTTTCCCAGACCCTCCTGGAGGGACTTTTCGTGTCCACTCCAGTTTGTGCTTTTTGTGTCTCGGAATTGGAAAGTAGATACTCGATCCATCCTTATGTCAAATCAGAGCATGAGTGTTCGGTGGATACCCTCCAGTTAACAATATTGGGACTCACAAACGACCTACTGATTGTTATGTGTAGAACTTCCGCACGATTTTTCGTCACTTTGTTAAGAGCTCTTCACCGATTACATAATTGTATAAAGTCGCTTACCTCGTATATTGATGTCGGTTCTTCCCCAGTCCCTGGGGTGGGCTTTAGCGTCGCACCCAATGACGAGCTGCTTGTTGTTCCTCTTGCAATAGGCAACTAGTTCTCGCACTATCGCTGGGGGAGGTGGTTGGTGTTGACCTGTTTCTCCCGGGAAGTAAGCAGAGCAGAGTCGACATCCTTGCTGTTGTTCCCACCGGGATCGAGACCTGGGAGACATAGGGGGTGCAGTAACCTGTTAATATAAAAAAATATAATATTTCTGATAAGAAGGCATGCTCTTGGTTTGTCCGGATAGTAACCAGCTACCAACTTACCAGAACAATTTTCGAGGCCGTTGCTGGAAATCTAGGGTTCCTATATAAAAGCGATGTCTAGTCTCTCCTTGGCAAACCTCATGCCAAGGACATATGAAGCCGCTTGAACGTGGTGGATATTTGCCTGGAGAAAGAGCTTTGGCTTGTCAATTGTTAATGAATGGGAGGGATTGGAGGAAGGTGTGGTGGTGGTGGCTATGAGGAAAGAAGTTTTTTCTCATTCCTATTTTCCGTGTTTCCCTTCCCTTAAGTTTTGGAACTTTTTCGCACTGTCCTTTTTCCCCTTGTCCTTTGAGGAAGTGGGCCTTCAAAGAGGTTTTGCTGTGATCATGCTAGCCATTTCAGCTGCTGACGTGATTTTGTCCTGCATTCTTGGTGACCTTACTCGAGGTTCCCCAGAGAGACGGCATCTGTTGAGAGTCGGTTGTTGGGAGTCTCTTCGCGGCGCTTCTGCGGTCTCGGGGCCGGAATTGTACTATTTCGAAGCCGAAGTAGGGCTGGAAATTCATCTGTTCCAGCTCTCTTATCGAGACATCCTCGACGGAAAACGTCCAGGTGCGACCCGACTAATCAGAGGCTAACCAGCGTAGACAGCTCCACTTCTGGGTTTGCAAGCCGTAGTTCTTTATCCTGCTTCCATGTTAATCCGGTGGATTTTACATCATCGAGGATGTACACCACGCAGATGAACGGTTTTGGTATTTCATGGGCGAAGTTTATCTATGGCTCCTTTCAGCCACCGAGCCGCCGTTGGGGTCCGTTCTGCGGCTATCATGATTGAGAGCTGTATAGCTTGCAGCTGTTCATTCAATAGCTAAAAGTCAGGGTGTTTTGAATAAATAATCCCCACTCAGACACTTTTTGCCTCGGCCTTGAATAAGCATTTCGGTTCGACTTTTGAATTCCTATCGAGTTTTATAACTTCCGTTTTAGGAGTACTGTCGTCGAAGCGGAAACGTTTGGTTATAAACTTCTTTGGTGAGGTTTTATTTCTCAGCGGTTGTCTAGGTTGATTAGATGGACTCAAATGGGCTGATTTAACCTTCCCTTTTTTCTCAACTCTTTGAGGGTCTGTTACAGGGCGGTTTGGTAGTCAATACCGCGCTGAAGCATCATTTTGAGGCTCTTTCTGGTCGCTTCGGCGAATCTTTTGGCGTGCCTCACAGGTTAATACCTCCTTCTTCTCCACCTGAGTTTCATTTCCGTTGTAGTTGGGTGATGCAAGTAACTGCTCCAAAATGACGATACAAACTTCTTTCTATCTTTTAAGTAGTTGTTGCCTGAAAGGTATTTGGATTCTAGTCAACTGCGCCGTAATTTACTATAAGTTTGGTAGCCTCATGACAATATTTTCGATCAAATTAATTTAATTCGAAATTACCGTGAATCATGAACCTGTGGAGCAGGTGGACACAATAGATCTACCCCGTCATTTACTTCTCGGCAACGTGACGTTATGAACCTACAGGACTTTGATGAGTGGAGATACATCTTAGCGACAACTAGCAGATTTTTGACGAGTTGAATACCTGCAGAACTTTGATAAGCTAGGAGAGACTGACTGTCTCTGGAAACATCTGAGAGGATTAAACTTCATCATAACTTTTTAGGAAGTCTCTTGAAAAGAATATTAATATGTGATATTCCAAGACATTTTCAAGCTAAGCACTGTTAATGGGAAATATTTCATAATTTTACAGAAAAAATAAATAAAAATACAATGTTACATTACTTTTTATGAAAATTGTATGTATCGTTTAATCAATTTACTAAACACAATATTTTTATTTAAAAAGCTTGATTAATTTTTTTTTAATTTAATTTCTAATATCTTAGTTGCATTATGTAATTTTATTTAATCTTCATGTACGATACTGACTATGGTTTTTTTTATTTGCGATATAAAAGGTATTTAAAGAATCTTTCTCGTTAAAAATAGTAATAGATACTCACGATCTGCCATTCCACTTATCATCATTGTCTGATATTAACCACAGTATACTGTCTCATATTTTAAAATTTAATAATGCTTAATATTACCCTTTAAATTTCAGGAATCAGGCCTATCTTCAGGATCCTCGCCTTTAACCTCCGAAGACGAACCGGAAAAAACAAAATTGGCCTCTCGCCACTCTCTTCCAGTCAAAACAACTACCACCAGCATCACGAATTCCAAGCTTCTGAAGAGGGTCACATCAGTTCCGATCGAAGGGTCGCCTCCACCACCGCCTCCTCCGCCACCACTCAATGCCGTTAATCAAGATGTTGATGATGAACCACGAGGAGCGGAAATAGTGGAAGTCGTCGAAGAACCTACTTTAAGGCCATCCGATATTGTTAAGGGGATGTGTAGAAGTATGTCTGCTTTATGTAAGTATTTTTTTATATTTATTATCAGACATTAAATTATTTAGCAGCACTTTCTGTGGAATTTAATGAATATATATAACATTACCTTAAGGTGATTACAGCACCCCGTTTTAATTTCCGGACAAGGATATCTCAATAAGTAATTTTTTTTTTTTAATTTAAATTTTGGAAAAATAAATAAGGCAATAATATCTAGAATATGCATATTTTTTAATGTTTTAATTCCTTCCAGTTTCCGAGAAAAAAATCAAAGGGCTTTATATTTTTAAATATCATGATGAAAATAAATGCATTTCTCAACAGCACTATTATTAATATAATCCATGAATTTAAGCTCTTAATGTCCTGTTAATGATTTTTTAAAATTCGCCGAAATTAGTGGCTAAAACGCCTCGTTAAGTGCTATTTTCTGGTGTAAACTGGTGTAAATCATTTCAGGAAACGAATGATGACCGACAGTGTACGATAACAATAGTTACAGTTGCGTTACAACAGAAGGCAGCACTTAACGAGGTGTTTTAGCCACTAATTTTGGCGAATTTTAAAAAATCATTAACAAGACATTAAGAGCTCAAATTTTGGAATTATGTCAAGAATACTGCTATTGAGGAACGCATTTATTTTTATTATGATATTTCAAAATTTTAAGCCCTTTGGTTTTTTTTTTCTCGGAAGCTGGAAAAAATTGAAATTTTAAAAAATATGCATATTCTAGATATTATTGCCTAATTTATTCTGCCAAAATTTAAATTTTTTAAAAAAATTGCTTTTTGAGATATCCTTGTTCGAAAATTATAAAGGGGTGCTGTATTCACAATTACATTTTTAATGCCAGTTTTAATATTTTTGCGTTAGTGGCTTTGTAGGCAGTGTTTACTAATTCTTGTATATGTTTACTATTTTTATCGTGTTTATGTTAGATTGTGGAATTTTCCTCACCTAATCGTACATTTATCGGTTATAGCTAATTATAAGCTATACCACTCTCCACATAAAGTTCCCTGGATCAGTCATTGTCCCGCAAGTAACACTAGGGAGAGTTACTGTCTTAGAATGTTCTCGATGGTAATACTACAAGAGATGAGAATTTTTTAAAAACATTTTGTTGTTTCTTTGGAAATTTGCATAATTTGTAAAGAAATAAAAAAATATTTAAAAAAAATATTACCTTACGTGGTATGTAGACAGATTATTTAACAATATAAACAGACCATTTATAAATAACATTTGCTTTGTTTTAGTAAGATAAAGTCGAACGTGATGTCAATTCTTTATTTAGATTAGATTAGATTAGATTAGATTTAATTAGGACTGTGGGCCATGTGGCCTCCCCCACCTCGACCTTTTCAGATCTATTGTGTATATCTTTGAATCGTTATTTAGAGTAACTTGTCTAATTCGGTCTTTTGTAGTAGACTTCATAGACTGGGAAGTAGTTCTCCGGTATAGCTAGTTGCCCTTGGTTTTTCTTCTCCAAGTGTAAGGAATCTGTCTTGCTAGACCTTCGCACTAGCACAATACGTGTACTGCCATTTCCTCCTCTTCCTGACAAAATCGGCATAAGGTCTCTTCTGTCAGACCGATATTATACATATGTTTGTTAAGCCTACAATGCCCTGTTAATAGACCTACTAGTACTCTAGTATTTTTCGTATTAAGGCTTAGTAGATGCTCGGTGAGTTTGGGCGATGGTCCTTTTATAAACTCTTTGGCATGTCTCTGTCCTGGAGAGTTTTTCCACCACTCCTAAGATTTTTTAAACATGCACTGCTTTGTGCATGTTATGATAGTTGTTTTTGTTACACCACAGAAGGGTTCTGGGCCAATAAGAGCATTTGAGGCTTCTTCTCGGGCTAGTAAATCAGCCTCTTTATTGCCCTTATGTCCTCTGTGGCCTGGTACCCAGGCTAAGGTTAGTCTGTTTTGACTACTCAGCTCTGTTAGGGCTTCCACACAAGCTTTTAGTGTACCTGCATGGAACTGAGTGCCTTTAGCGTCGCTTGACTGTCTGAGTATATGACAATGGTTTTTCCATTTACCTTCTGTCTTAATACCTCTTTTGCTCAGTGATCTATTGCTGCTATTTCTGCCTGGAATACTGTCGCATGTTTACCTAAGCTCAGTGAGATTCTTGTCTTTGGCTTGGTACTATATATACCTACTTCTGAACCTTCATGGGTTTTGAAGCCGTCTGTATACCAGGTGAATTCTGCATGAATAGGAGGTCCTCCTGTCCATACTTCTCTGTCTGGTATACTTACTTTATATTGCTTCTGAAAGCTATACTTTGAAAGCATTTCATCTGAAAGCATTTCCATTATTTGGTCGTTCTTCAACTCTTTATATAGCTCGCTGTAGTCACGTCCATACGAACTGCTTATGGGTGATGAACCTTTGTGCAGTCTGTATGTGACAGACCTGGCTTCGCCTTGAATATATGTAATGGTGTTAGGTTTAGCAAGACTTCTATAGCTGCTGTTGGAGTCGTTCTCATAGCTCCCGTGGTACTCAGGCATGCCTGCCTTTGAATACCATTGAGCTTTCGAATGGCTCCAGCTTGCCGAGTCTTTGGCCACCATACCACCGACCCGTAGGTTATCATCGGCCTTATGACTCTGGTATATAACCATATGGACATTTTCGGTTGTAATCCCCAATTTTTTCTACACAACCTTCGACATAAGTTGAAGGATATTGTGCTCTTTTGGGTGACTTTTTGCAAATGTTGATTCCATGTTAACCTGTGGTCAAAGATGACTCCCAAGTATTTGGCCTCTTGAGCAAATGGAATCTTCACTTCTTTGAGTACTGGTGACTTTAGTCCTGTTGGTACTTTTCGTTTTGTAAAGCTGACTATTGTGGTTTTGTGAGGTTTAGTTCCTTCTCTCTGCACCACTCGTCAACAATGTTTAGAGCGGTTTGTGTGCGCTCCGATATTTTACCTGCGAACTTGCCTCTTACGAAATTTCTTTATTTCTTTATTTACAACAATGTATATTTGAACGACCAAAACGACTTTTGTCAATTTTTCGTCATCTTCTTGACATACTTCACACTAACGTTTCACAAGATTTAGTGAAAACACTACATCATCCAGTGTATTAAGATACAGTTCGTTTTGATTGGCGTGTGTTGGAATAAAAGAGAGTTGTCATTGGTTGATGCTTTATAGTGTTAAATAATCAAACTAATTGGCAAGTAATATCTTAATCTCATCGCTATTTTTTGTTAAAAATATATAATTATTCTTAGCTTTAAGATGTAGGTATTCAGCATACAACAGACATTGATATATGAAGATACAGGAAGCTGTAAAGTATTCATTAACTACATTTCCTAACTTTTATGTAGGTACATTTTTGTTCTGTGTTTCTAAACATTTTCGAAAACAACTTTCCACAAAAGACAAAGATACACTGAAGGATAGATACACTTTTTTTATTACACCATATCATGAAAAACAATTCATGAGAATTTAATTTAATATTTTCTGCGGTTTACTCTAAATTATCTTTTTTAAACAAGAAGAAAACTATATAGTGCAGGGCATAGTGGCGCATTCGTTTGCAAAATTGTTTTAATTCGTAATTTTTTTTTAAATGTCCGGAAAGCTTGCCTAATTATAAAAGTGTAAGATGACACTCGATATTTGTTGATGTTATTGTTTAAACAACGAAAAATTAATTAAGGCAAAAAAATGCATTTTTTGCAATGAATTAAATTTTTTTATATTTTTTAGAATATTTCGAATAAAAAAAGACCCTACGCCCATTATCGTATCTTCAACCCTTTAATTGTTATGAATTTTTAAAATCCAAAATTGACGAAAATTCTAATTTTCTTGAATTAAATAATATACCTTAAAATTTAAAATGCTATAATTTTAAATTTTTTACCGAATATTCAAATTATATTAAACAAAATAACCTAAATAAATTCTCAAAATTTTGTTTGTTGTTATGTTTTTTTTACGTTATAACAATATGCTTCCTACGCGCGTGTACTTTTAAAGAGAAGTACTTCTATCTCACTTCCAACTCAATGTATAAGATGGGTAAGAGAAAGCCCTATGACGCGCTGAATCAATTTTTTGCTGTTTTTCAGAGGTAATAAGTTTAAAAAAAATTAATATTAACATTTTTCATAACACTTTGTTATATTTGCCGATTAATAGTTTTGTATCATGTGATTTTTTTTACTTTTTTAGATACTTTTGATAACTTTTTTATTTATTAAAAATAACAGAAACATTTATTTTTAACATTTATTTTTATTCATGAAAAAATTATTGTCACATACTGCCTGAGAAGTAAAATCTTCTTCAACCTTTTTGTTTTTAATACGATAAAAAGGTCAAATGCAGTTGTCGTGATCCGTGAAAAATTTTTACCTGTTACAATGAACATAGTAGGCTTACTGGGGTTATAAAATTTTATGATTTCAAAAATATCCAAGCCTTCCTCCATTTAACAAAAGTAAGGAAAAAAATGTTTTTTTCTAATATTGGGAGTAAGTACTATAAATATGAAATTTTTTATGACTTTCAATCTTTTGCACTATGAATACAAATAGGTAAAGGGACTTATTTCGTATTTTTAAAAAATTGTACGTTTAACTCTTCTTCTATTTTTTTCCTGTCTCAAACAATTTTTACAACCTTCCAAATAGAAAATTCAACCCTACCTTAGAATTTTTGGCTCGTTTTGAAAATTATTTTTCAATTGTTAATTAGTCTTGTTCGATTCTACATCTACTGGTTTACTTTGCAGTCGTGTAATTTTCTGAATAATAATGTCGTTCTCTTTAATTTCAAAAAAAAAAAAATATTATCTGACGACAAAAAGTGTTTATTTTGTGATCATGACGAGGTGTTAGTGAAGTGTCCGAAACCTGTTACATATTTAAAATTAAAAAATGCAACTCTTCGTCGAAACGATAACGTGACTGTGCGATTTAATTTGTTGTTTAATGAAAATACTAGTGAACAATCTTTTTCGTGG